CGTCTCTCTCTCTCTCTCTCTCTCTCTCTCTCTCTCTCTCTCTCTCTCTCTCTCTCTCTCTCAGATATTCACATCGATATTTTAGCAGTTGAAGAAGCGGAGAGTCGGGGAAATGGTGTTGATTGTAAAGGACAGAATGTGTTAATGAAGCCATCAAAACTTGCTAAAATTAAATTGTTATTGTGGTGCAGAATAGCGGGCTTTTACTCGTCGAAACTCTGCAGTTTGTTATTTAATTTGTTGTCTCCAAAGTAGCTTTGTTAGCTTTTCTAATGAAGCCAGTTTATGGTAGATTTTATGATAGCAACCTTCCCGCATCAGGAGATACGTCGCCGCCATTTCGAACCAAACAAACAAGGACTGATAATGTCGAGATGCCACAACAGAGATACTACAATTTACTGGTTATGATGGTCTGAAAAAATGTCTTTTTAGATTTGTTTCGTTTTTTTTTTTTTTCTGTCGACTGTTATTTAATTAACTCGTTAAAAATTAGTACGGAGATTTAATGATACTAACTCTAATTATCACGCATAAAGTACTAACGATGAGTCAGACGATTATATGGAAGATTACTTTCCAGATAATAATATTAAGAAAATAAAGGAGGACACACACATACAAATATATATATATATATATATATATATATATATATATATATATGAAGGAGGGATGGTGAAGTAGTGGATAGTGGCTCGGAGTGAGGAATCGCAGAGTCGAGTTCGGATTCCAGTCGAATCCATTACATTAACTTGCACATACTGCTATGAGTAGGACAGACTGGGTTCTATAGCCTTGGATGGCAACTCATCTAGGAGAAGGACAACTCTAAATTCAAAACCTGCGGAGGTTCGATTGGGGACATTGTGACACTGTATTCGGCCATTCAAAAGTGAGGTTGGTTCTACACGAAGCCTTCACCGCTATAATAAAAATCGTATGTACTGGTGTCTGGGCTATCGGTCCCTAGGAACTGAGGTGCTTGAACCTCATACGTCGAATACCACACCATATATATATATATATATATATATATATATATATATATATATATATATATATATATATATATATATATATATATATTTTTGTATTTGTGTGGTGATGGCTAGACTCTCGTATCCGATTATGTGTCTATACTAGGGTTATTAATCAATACCATTTGCAGACGATTTGTGTTTCTTCAACACCCACAAAGCCTAATTGTGGATTATAGTGTAACTATACTGGATGGATCATAGTTACAAATTCTGGGGGAGAGAATATTATCGGGTCAAAAGTCTGAAGGACAGTAGGCTCGAAGATTCGATCACGATGACTTTCAAATTCGTTCTCAAATAGTAAAGTCTTCATGATTTTCTTCACAGGCATGTATTTCAAGCACATGTAAAAGGTTCGGCAAGGAAGGATCACATTCCCAGACCAATAAAATTAAGAAATCAAATCCCTGACATATATATATATATATATATATATATATATATATATATATATATATATATATATATATATATATAAAAGAAGAGAGAAACCGTAAACGTTTTTGTTTTATTTTTAATGTAGATTTTTTTTAATTTTTATATTATGCTTTATTTTCCATAAAATGTAGAAAATAAAGCATAATACATATTTTCAAAAAATCCATATTAAAACCAAAAACGTTTGCGGTTTCTCTATTCTTTTAAAATATACACTTTTCTCTCAGTTGAACAACTATAACCTCTCCCGTATAAATAAATATATAAATATATATATATATATATACAGTTATTGGCTTCACTAAGAATCCATTTCAAAGGAAATCTGATGTTTGTTTAATTCGTCGTGCTGAGTACATTTGACTTTCATATATATATATATATATATATATATATATATATATATATATATATATATATATATATATATATATATTCCAGTTCTTACCGGCCACTAACATTGCTCCAAACCGCCCTCATTCCCCCTCCGTATTCCATAGGGGAGTAATAAGTTTGATTCATACAACTTTTCTCAGGAAACACTGCTCTGTGGAACTGACTTGGTGAGTGTTACAAGGATTGGTCTTAAACTTTGTTTTATGTCTTTCGACTTTTGTGGAGAATGATGATATAATGTTACACATCGGGCTGCCATCTTTGGGAAATTTGGCTCGGTCATAAAACTTAGCTTTACAAGTGTGGTATTCTATAATTTTATAGCATGATTATTATTATTACTAACTTTCTTACTTCTTATTTATATTCCAATGTCTCTGTAATTATTTTGTCTTCATCTATTTTCTCATATGTGTTATTATTGTCTAGTTTTCTATTCATAACAACAATTCCGCCTCGTTTATCTGAGGAGGTGTTGTAAATTTCATTAATTTTTACGCAGTTTTCTAATGTTTTTAAATGTATCTGTGGTAAGTTTCTTTCGTTCGTTTGTCTCTCTCTCGGTCTCTCTCTCTCTCTCTCTCTCTCAGTCTCTTTCTCTCTCTCTCTCTCTCTCTCTCTCT